CGCCCCCCCTTCCTGCTTCCGCCCCCCCTCGCCGCCAGGAAGCTTCTCCCGCTCGTGCTCCTGCTCCCCGCTCTCGCGCTGGCCGTGCCCGGCCCGCGCGCCCCGCTGCAGCGCGCGATCCCGGCCGTGGGCCCCGTCACCCCGGATGCCCACCCCGCCACCTCGCTTCGCGAGGCCGTGCGTCGCATGCGCCTGTCCGTCGGCCGCGAGCTGCTCCTGCTCGCCCGCGTCGAGGCCGGCGATGCCCTCCCCGCCGCCGTCGCGCGCCAGCCCGCCTCGCCCACCGAGTCGTCCGAGCCCAACACCTCCGACGGCTTCACCGAGGAGCCCAACGACGGCCTCTCCACCTTCGAGCCGCTCATGCCCGGCACCTCGGTCGCCCCATCAAACGTCTTCCCCGACGATCCCTCCCCGTCCGCCGCACCCACCCCCATCCCGGGCCCTACCGGATCCGATGAGGATCCCGCCACCGACGGTGCCATGATCACCGATGGACCCGTCGTTGACGGCCCCGATCCCGTCCCCACTCCCGTTACGCCGGATCAGTCGGGCGATGGCGTCATGACCACCACTGAAGATCCCGTCGAGACCGATGAATTAGTCATGGTCACCGTCGTCCCGCGCCCGGGCCCGCCCGGTCCTGGTCCTGGTCCTACACGCCCCAACCCCCGCCCGACGACACGCCCGACCAGGCCGAGGCCGCGTCCAGAACGCAGCCCGCGCCCCGCCCGCGAGCCAGTCGTCACACCGCCCCCTGGCGAAATTCCCATGCCGCAGCCTTCAGACGGGCCTGATGGCATGGAAGATTCTGATGACATGATGGAGTCGCCGTCGCCTGATATTGACGATGTTTTGACCGGAGGTGCCGATGGCGTTCCTGGCGAATCGGAACCGGCTGCAACTGACGACTTGTCTGATTTGAGCCCTAGCCCCTCACTTGATGATGAAGGTGAGGACGATGACGACTCAGTTTGCTTCCCGGCAAACGCTCTCGTCGAATTGGAGAATGGCGCTACTAAGATGATGAGCCAAGTCCAGCTTGGCGATCGCGTCAGGGTTGGGCCTAATGACTTCTCGGACGTCTTCATGTTCACGCACAAGACCGCTGCTATCAAGTACAGCTTTGTCACCCTCGCCACCCAATCGGGCCATACCCTTTCTCTTACAAAGGGCCATTACTTATACGTTAACGGTGTCGTCGCTGCTGCCAAGACTGTCCGCTCTGGTGATTTCATTACTCTTGCTGATGGTACCACTTCCAGTGTCACTCAAGTGGGCACCGAGATCGCCCGTGGCTTGTACAACCCGCAGACAGTCCATGGAGATATCATTGTCAACGGCCTCCTTGCCACCACCTACACCACCACTGTTGAACGCAGCATGGCTCATGCTCTCCTCGCCCCGCTGAGGGCTGTCTACTCTTCCATTGGCTGGTCTATGTCTGCTCTCGATGCGGGTGCCGACCGCCTGGCTGGTATTGTTCCGAGTGGTTCTGTCGTTGCCTAAGTGCCTCGTTTGGACGCGTCCGTCCATTCATTCATTCGTCTGTCATTGTTGACGCTCATCGTCATGCATTGAACATCTACACACACGCCTGCGCTCATGCTCACACACACACACATGCACAACAACTCGTTGACTGGGTTTGACATTTTTCGTGCCGCTTTCGTTTTTTTCAGTCAGGTAGATGCTAGGGTCCCATTCTCTCTCCTCCCTCTCCCCACTTTTCGCTCCCCTCTTCCCCGGCACAAGCCATTTTCCCCTTCATGCTAGCGGTGTAGCCCGTATTTGCCGAGTATAAAAGTGATTGTATAAAACAATTCTAACCATTCTTCTCATTCGCCGCACGGGTGGGCTTAGACTGTACGTACCATGAAGTCCTTCGATAAACCTCTGTCCCTCATGTAGCATTGCACTATTGCACGTAAGGGACTGAATGCATTGAAGCAATCATCAGGATTTATGTGCCTCCCGACGGCCTATGTGCCGAGCGCTGCCATCCCTCCTCCCGTGGTCCTGCAACATGATGCAGAAAGGTATGTACTCCTTCCCGGGACTACACACCCGTTAAAGTGTGGGCTTGGCCCGGTAGTCTACTGTTGTACCGTGCAAGATATCAACATCTACATGACCTCGTGTCGTGGAGGTCGCCATGGACAAGTGCCGCAAATGTAGAAAGTCATATTTTCTACCGCAATACTGTCCTCCAGCGCAGGCTTGCAGCCACTCTACTCTGCTGGAAAGCAATTACAGTATTCCCATTACGAATATGAAGGTGAAACTTGTCCGTTCAAGCACGGATCGCCCTTCAAACAAGGCACCAACTTGGGAATGCCAAGGGACTTGGGAGGAATGCCAAGGGAATGTTCTGTCACATCTGCGGAATTTGGCCAAGCGTTGTCGGAAATAACTGATTTTTTTCATTACAAGGGGGGGGGACGCGCAATAGTGCCGCTTTCATTATTGCCACCCTCGAATTAGTGCCGCAAAAACCGGCAGACACAGGTTCTGCCACGTGTCATGCACGACGTCGTCATCGCCCACTCCTCATGCGCCTCAGCTCAATTGGTGATGGCACCTCACTCAAAGACCCTAACATGATTCCTGAAAAGATCGCCAAAGCGAAGCGTAACTTCACGCGCCTTACGATTGCACAGAAAATCGAGGTTGGTCATCTGCTGCAGGTCGGGAATGCGAATACCACAGTTATGCGTCAGTTCAAAATTTCGGAGCGAACCATCCGAAATATCAAACGCTCTCTTCCTTCACTCCAACAAATTGTGACCAACACCGCTACAACGCTCGGACCAAAGACTTTGCACCCTGCGATGTGGAGGAATGGATTGAGATCGAGACTAATGAGCTTGTGGCAGAAGCTTCTATTAGTGATGCTTGCGATTCAATACATTATGGTGGAGAGCTACAGAATCAGTCTGCCAGTGATACTATGATGGATGATTGTGTGGCAGAAGGCGAGTGTGAAATTACGGAGAGGCGGGCCGTACCGAGTGCTGTAGTGCTAGCAAGGTTGTTTGGGTTTTTGGAGAGTCTGGGTGTGGAGTGCGATGTGAGCAATGCCTTATCGCACTTGAGGTCCGCAAAACGAGCTTTTCTAAAAGTTAGTACTAAGCCTAGTACTAACTTGTAGAAAAGCTCGTCTCAGGCCTAGCACTACTAGGCCTGAGAGACAGGGTCAAAGGCAACAACAGCAGACTCTAGTAACAGAGTTCTGGCCGGGTAGTGGTTCTGCCGTCTGATTGTGCCGCTCCGAATTAGTGCCGTATTATTAGTCCTTACACGGGGCGGCACTAATGCGTAGGGTCGACTGTACCTGATGCCGGGCCCTGCTTCCAGACGACAGCCCGATGATGCCCATGATGTGCGCAGTTGGCCTGGCGCTGTTCTAGGGGCTTTCAAAACATGTCACGGCTCACTGTGTTTCATACTTCAGCGGCAGTTGATGCTTCGCGCCAGGATGAAATGCATTCATGCGGCATTAATGAACCTGTCGTTTAATACTGTAAGTATCATCTACTTTTCATCTGATCTCAAGAGCGGAAGCCTTTTATTTTCGGTTGTGCACGATAAGCAAACCAGAAAAACGTTTGCGCTTTCGTCTTTCTAGTCCGTGTGTACTGCACCATGTTAACAATACCGTACAGTTGAACGACTTGTTCACAAGTAGAGGGGGGTCCTACACGATCTCTAGACACCCGTGCCTGTCGTCTTGCTACCATGACCACAGATAAACTTGCACGGCGAGGTGCTGTGCTCCTCATACGTGTTTGAGGATATCGTCATCGAGACTAAATTTGACATCCTTTTTATCCAAACCCAGGCTTAAATAATCTTCATACGACGCCTTTATCGCGGCAGCCAGCTTGTCTGCCGATCCTGAGAACTCTGCCGTCCAGCCGAGCTTTTCGGTCGCCTCTCCTGGGTCTGCGAAAAAGTGCCTCGGCCTGAAGGGAAAGGCCTTTTTCGGTACAAACCCTTCCAACTTCTTCTTAATCTCGTCGGGGTCATACCGAACAACGTTTGCCTTCTTTCCGATCGCGTCCTCGCACATTTTCACCACACCATCAAACGTGACCGCTCGGCTGTTGACGAGGTTGAGGGTCTCATTCTTCATGCCCTTCCCCAGAGCGGCAGCCAGCATTGAAGCAATATCCCGCACGTCTGTGAGCGAGGTCAACTCACTGCCATTACCCGGCAGAAGCAAGGGGCGGTCGCGTACAATCCGATCAAAAAAGTAGTCGAGATACCCCCGCTTCGAACAGTCTTCACCGATGATGTAAATTGGGCGAAAGTTCACAGATGAAACACCTTGGTCTCTGAACAGGTTCTCGACGTCGACAGTGGCGCCCTTGAGGGGGTCGCCTACTAAATGAGGTGCAGTATTCGGGTCATATGAGTAAGCACCAGCGGAAGCGACGTAGAACACCTCTGCACCGTTCTTACCAGCTGCGATAGCTGGGGCGGCGTCATCTGCAGACTTTGCGTTGTTGTCGTAGACCGCGTCATAGCCTTCATGCTTGGCGTCCGCGACAGAGCCGAAAGAGAACGAGAATGAGGCGAACTCGGAAGCTAGAGACGGGTATTTGGCGAAAGGGCCAAATGAGGGATCGCCACCTACCTGCAATAGGTCGACGGTATTGCCCTCTTGCAGGAGCTTGCGCGCCAGATGAAGACCGATGAAGCCGTGACCAGCACCTTTCGTGTTGACGATGAGGACGTTCGCAGACATCACTGGGGAGCGGGTATGGCGAATGGGAGATGTGCGCGGAAGCCTAGCATGTTGGTGAAGGAGAGAGCTGCCCAGGAAACCGGATGGGGCAAATGCGGTCATATGCATTGCGTTGCTCGGTGGTCGCAGAAGCACAGAGGAAGTGGTGCTTGAGAGAGTTCAACGCAAATCTTTCACGTCTCGGTGAGCTCCAAAAGCTGTCTCAGAGCATCGATAACAGTTGAAGATTTTTAGTTACGGCAGCTTTGCATCGATAACTTAAGGGTAACCTTTAGCTTTTGAGCTCTAACCTCGCAATGCGAACATCGCTGTAGGAAAAGCTGTCAGGAAATGACTGGCCAGAAGCGCGTTACGCAATCTCGATGGTTCTCACGTTGCCGTACGTACACACGTGTATACATGTGTAAAATATTCGCGCCTTCGGGATGGCCGAATCCGGATCCAAAGGGATTGAGGTGACGAATTCTTGCCGTTTTGTCCAGGCCTGCCCCGCCGCATCACAACCTCTTCCACGCCGACCCCGACTCTTCCTCAGCCCACAGGCACATACTTTTATTCGCCGCCACAACAACTCCTTCCTTATCCCGCGCCTGCCCCTCTCTCCCATTCCCTCTTATTGAACGTCGCATCATGGGCGTGCGATCGCGGCCTGGCAAAGGATCCGCAAAACCTGCTGACAAAGGGAAAGCGCACACGGAGGCGAAACCCGAAACCCCGCCGCCGGTGTCCCGCTTGCTCTGGGGTAAGGTTCTGGACAAAACCTACGAACTCACCCCTCAGGAAGCCCTCAACGCCTCACACTGGCTCCGCCAAACCATCGCAGTTGCTTTCGGTACTATTTTCGGCGTTTTGCAACTCACAGGAGCCCCGTGTGTCATGACATTCATTCTCGCCGGCGCCATGCTTCCGCCTGTGCTTCTATCCATAACAAATGAAATCGACGCGGAGGAAATCTCAGCAGTGGGCTCGATTCAGACAGAGGGTATGATGCCTGCGTTCGCCTTGTTTCTTTTGAGTTGGATTCTGTCCTACACCGTGTGTCTGCCACCAGCAAGTTCATGAGTGCGTCCTACATTTAAGAAACGGCTACGACGTTCTGTGGGCGGTAACATTTGACGAAATGTCCGATTTCTGATGTCATTGCTCGCCCTGGATTTGCGAGAGCATCATATCTAATTTATGCTTCAACAAGGGCTGTCCCTTTGTTGTGACTTTCCTGTACAGTTTCGACTGCATCACGAAATCACAAGGTGCACGCATGGAAATCCCAGAAAAGAGTCAAAAATAGTTAGCATGTTGCCACTGATGTGCCATGTGAGTAGAAGCGTGATACTATTGAACTTTCGCGACGTCTCGCCCTCCCAGCAAACTGCTGAAGCGACATTGTAAACTATGCAACTTACTCGCTTTCTTCGCTCTTTCTTTGATAGCTTCAACCTATTCTCTCGCGTCTTGATTTTGATTTCACGCTCCTTCTCGTTCTTTTGGCGTTCTTTCCGTGCTTGTTCTGCCTGCTTCATTTGTTTTGTAAATGGAAGATATTTTTTGGGCTTTCTCTTCTCAACGACAACCGACGGGATACTCTTCTCTTCTGGTTCCTGCTTTTGCGCTGGTTGTATTTCATCGTTCATCCCACCATCTTGCGAGTCTATATCTTCAGCTACTTCGTTATCTTCAGCTTCTTTGGTAGCCTCTGCCTTGTCAGAATTTCGCCTGGTCTTCTTTCGTTCTTGTGTCTGACGTTGTCGGAGCGGCTGCACGGCAATCTCGCCTTCCTCGTCTTCCTCATCTCCTGGCCTGCCCAACTCATGCGCTACAATTGGGACATCTACTTTTTCCGCTTCTAATTCACTAAGTAGTTTCTTCTTTTCCTTGTAGCGCACGTGGCGTTTCACTTGTTTGGCCTTTTTTGCCTTCTGCCGTCTTCGAAGCGCGTCTCGTGCAGCCTGCTGATTGCGTGCTTCTAAGCCTTGCTTGTTCGACATCGGTCGCCGTGAAGGGTGCATAGTGTTGCGGCGTTGGGGTTACTGCCCGGGGCTCACGGGGTAAAGTAAATGGCTTGAGGAGAGAGCAGGGGTTCGTGGCACGTAGACCGAGAAAAGCGACTTCGTCGCCGATGGGTTTGGGCTCTGGATTGTGATTGTGGCAATGTACTGTCTGACGTAGATTTTTCGACAAATTTACCGCATTTTGACGGGAATCACAATAATAGTCCTGTTGGTACCACCTATACAATAAGGTGCCGCTTTGGTCGGTCATCATAACGTACGAGTTAGCACCCCCGCGAGCAGATCAAGGAATTCCGACCTGCCACCCTTTTGTAGGAAAGTGGGTTAAGGCTGTCGATCTGCAAGCACAGGGGGTGACGACTCAACTCCTCTCTTGCGCAATGTTGCGGCAAATACCTTTGCGTGGTGCGCGGGCTATGTCGCTTCTTAAATTGCCGCAACGAGCTGTGCCGAAAGCAGCCCAATGTCATGCACCCACCCTGCATCTGTGTCACGCTTTGGGCTCAACGCAGCCATCAATTTACGACATTCGCTCAACACTAAATGCCATCATAGCGCAGTCAGCGGGAGTTGCACTTGTGAGGCCCTCACGAGAAAGCATCGTGATAGAATAGTGCAATCCAGACTAATGTCAGGAAGCTCGCTGGCAGCTAGTTAGGAAGAACTCTGCACCGTCGTATAGCGCGTCCGATTGCTGTAAGGGCGTGGACGAACTTGGTCCAGCAGTGGCGGCTTATTGGGCCGGCCGCCCTCCTAACTGGTGCGTGCCACGTCACGTTCCGCCTCGGGGGGTTTTGAGGGAAGCCAGACTCATTCAACACCCTCCGGAGGCAAAGTGGTCTTGGCAACGCTAAGCCGATGGAGATGCCGTGCCAGCAAGGCATCTATATCCGGCCACACGTGCCCGGGTGCCACAAAGTCCGGGACTGAGCTAAACATGCTAGCTTCGTAAAGTGGAGTCGCCAGTCGCCATAGGGTGGGTACGCCCCGCGACTGGTAGTGGTGGTAAAACTGGGCTGCCAGCCCGTCTAGAAAGTGCTCGCCTGGTGTCGGCGCAGGGTTACTGGTATTCATCTGTTGCACTTCTAGCTCTACCACCCCACCTACGCGTTTCAGGACTAGGGACGCCTGTGATGTGGTGGCCACTACGCCGCTGTCCGGCATCATGGCGACCACCCTGGTCAAGAGTCCACTCCTGAATTCGTTGAACGATCGGCTGCCCGCACAGATGGCGACCACCGATTTTTGGGTGAGTGATCCACAGATCACGGAGTCCGTGAAACCTGCGTCCAACCTCTCCATCTCCCTGACCGCTACCAGCCAGGCGTGGCCCGCCGTGCGTCCGTTTGCCGGTGCGCCCGTAGCACCTATCGAAACGAGGCGTTTGTACAGCGTGCGGGTTGTGGGGAAATCGCTACTAACCCATAAGGCCAAGCTGCTGCAGAACTCTGGTCCTCCTGCGCGCAGCGTCGGGCGATCAACCTCTATGGCCTGAACCCCTTGGCCCGCCAGGACAACGCTGGGGGCGGCCAGGGTATACAGCGTGCTCATACCGGCCGCCACGCCGGATGACCCGGTGACCTCAAGCCACCGGTCGCCTGTCAGGGTTCCTCGGAAGACCGAGGTCCCGACGCGAGCCACTAAGGGTAAGAGGCAGTCCCAGAGGCGTCTCTCTACAATCACGCTCGTGGTCAGCCTTCGACCACTGCGGTTGAGTCGCAGCTCTGAGAACACGTCCCTAAGCTGGCGCTCGGCGTCTGGGACCATTCCCTCCTCAGCTGCAGCTAAGAGGGCTATGGCCTCACCGACCTGTCGGGGCCGGTCTCTAAACGGGTACAAAGAGGACAACGCGCTCAACTCCGCGTCCTGATCGTTCCGTCGGATCCAGCTGCGCAGGCGGTCCACCGATACTCGGTAGGCTTGCATAGCTGGCGGCCTGAATGCCGATCGGAGAGCCTCGATCCGGACTACTTCTTCCGCGAGTCTCCTGGCGGCTCGGGGACAGCCAGTGCCCGTTCCCTGCCGCCGCATTTCGGCTTCGGCCCATGTGAGTACTCCGACAAGCACGCCGTACGTGGACCAGTCGCCGATCACCCGCCCTGGAAGCAGAGTGTCGGCTGGGTCCCCCTCCAGACCAGAGAGGTACTCATAATCGTTCACCGTGTCGTTCAAGAGGTCCAGGGCCCGCTTGAGCAGTGCGTCTGGCACTGCTCTCATCCGAGCCACCGCCGCTCTCAGGCCCGGTGTGGGCTCCGCTCGCAGCAACTCTCCTGAGAACTGTTCCTCCAGGTGTAGGACTGAAGTCCCGACCACGGCCTCGGACAGGTGTAGTGTCCGGCGAATTGTATGCCCGAACTCGGGCAAGTCAGCTAACATTTTTTGCGCTAAACGGCGCACGGCCTGGGCAGGACGGCTGATAGTCCTGCTGGCCTCTATCCCCCTCGCTCGACGGTTGGGGAGACCGGCGGGCGGTACAGAGATAAAACAAGATAGCCCTTTCCGGTTGCGTTGGTGAGGTTGCATCGGGGGCTGAGGGGTTCGCTTTGCTCGGGAAGGAGGGGGGAGTATCACAATGGCGTTATACTTTATACAGTGGGTGCATCCAGAAAATAGCACTCTAACACTTTACCATTGTATGATAGTTTCAAAAATTGATTGTCCCCACCACTCTTGCACTCCATCACTGCCCTTCCGTAGCGGTTCCACCCCAGTTGGAACATGTTGCGAACTGTACACCCACTCGCACCCCCACTCGCCGACAGCCTCCCCATCCCCTAATCCCAAAGCGAGCCACACCTTCCTCCTCAAACCTGGCGCCCGCATTCTGACACTGTCATCTCAACATGGCATCCCTTTTGGACGGATCCGATCCTCCCTCTCAAGCCAACCCGAACAAATCAATACTTTCCAGTTGCGTACTGCGTCCTCTTGTTTTCGGTCCCCTTCGATAAGGGCTACCGAAGTTATATTTCAATTGTTCCTGTATAAAAAATGGAAGTATACTGTTTAGCAGTAAGGCCTTCGTGATATTTACGGATACAAGGAAGTCGGAGTCTTTCCCGAACGAGAGAAGCACGCACCAAGGAGTGGACCGCTGTGTGCGAGGGCGAATAATGGCTGGGCGGAGGTACTTTGGGTTCTTGTTGCGATGACGGCGCTTGCGGCGCATTGTTGTCCTCCTCCGGGCGACAAGACATGTCGTCAGAGCTGCTAGCGATACTGCTAGTGTCTAGCCGACAATCAAAAATCCTCAATTGAGCACACGTGCTTTCCTCATTTGAGCCGCATGTATCTGACTCCCTTTACGAGCGATGGGAAGACCCTCCCACTAAACGCAACACACACTCGTGATCCGTATGGTATCGCAGTTAATACCAGAGCGATAAATGGCAGTATCTAGTGCTCTAATTCAATATGTACAGCAAAACAGTCCCTGACTGAGCGGTTGCTGCAGAAGTAACGCTCAAAATTGCCTTGTTCCAGGCATACACTACAAACTTCTATAGACTTATGCCTCTTGCAAGACCCACATCTTCCTTGAAATGCGTAGTTGCTGTATTTGCCATTGATTTTGCGACGCTTAGAGGTCCTAACCAGGCATGGGCTCCGCATAGGTGATTTTGTAGAGTTTGATTGTTCCCCAGACCACGAACTTGGGCTACTATTGCGCACTGTGGCGGCGTTGTCGTATTTGTTGTCGATTAAAGCCTCTGAAAGAGCCTCATAGAAGTCACCTTGTAAAAAGCTGCACTGTTCCGCATGCGAAGATTTGTAAAGCTTCCACGCGTCCACGATATAGAACCCCAGAATTCCAATATTGAGTCTCTTGTCCCATTTCTGAACGCCAATCATTCGTTCGAGCTCAAGGTCATCCTGACGGCACCTGTTGTGCTGATCAATACTTGCACAAGTATCGTAGTAGCGTTCCACGACTTTTGGTTGTCGTAGGGAAAGATGCACTCTGCGTGGACCAGTGCTGGTCTGACGCCACCGCACTCGATCGCATGGACTTCCATCGGTGCTGTTGCTGCCAGTCGCGATAAAGTATCGTCTATTCCGGTCCACCCATGCCAGTGCCATTAAAGATTTTCCTGTGTCATGTATGTCGCATCGTAGAGTAGTCTGCTGTCCCCTTCCCTCCATTTCCACCTGATTAGATACTTCATGAGAAAGGCCCGTGTGGCAGTCTTGACCACGCCTATAAAACGCAATCCAAGCTGTAGAAGCTGTTCTGCTGACTGCACTGATGCGAAGTAGGAGTCAGCACATACCACACGGTCTGAGTATATCCAGGGGTTGACGAGGCGTTTTAGGACAGCTGTCCCATGGTTACAGCTGCCCTCGAACGCTTTTCCTGTTTCGTCCGTCGCACCAGTAACTATTTCTATTCGTAGCATAATGCCGCTCTACCCACATGCCAGGTTCTGAACTTCACAACCATCTTCAGGCTTGCGCTCGATACTTACAAAGTGGGGCAGGCCAATTTCGATCCAATCGCCACCCAAGCCGTACCATCGTATCATAGACTCATCCACACAAAGGTAATCGGATGGTTGTACATACCTGTACCGGTGGTCGTTAAAAGCCCTGACAAAGTCGTTGACAAGAGCCCAGCGATGTTGCGCAGACGTCCACCCTGCCTCTGATGGTTGGGCGCTAAATGTCAGTGAGCCGAACAGGGCCTCGAAGCGGCTGCGCCCCATTACCTTCGAGAGGTAAGGACGAACAAAGTACTTGGAGGCCGATTTTGCTTCCCACAATCTCCGACAATCTCCTTTAGCATATCGAGATATTAAAATTAAAATTCCAAAAAATCGTAGAATCTCACCCGCCGATGTGCCTCTCTGATGCTTTGAAAGCAGTGCACTCGATGTCAGCTGCACAATGCGCCCCAGAAAGCGCATTGGAAACATCGAATAGAAATAATATTCTATTCCTTTCCCTGCTGGTGCTCCTCTTTCGCGTATGTCGGAACCATCAAAACCGATCACCTTCCAATGCTTTACGGGGACAGGGCCGTTGATGTCTGAAAGTACTGCAGCCTTGCGCCATACTTTGCCATGGACCTCAACGGTGCCCTCATCAGAGAGACTGTAATTGGGCGCCGTTGGTATTGTACTCGGAGCAGCGGGGGCGACAGTTTGGTGAGGCGTTGACGAGGACAGGACAGCCGTAGCCTCAAACTCGGAAATCAAGTTTCGCTGAGTATCACTGTCATTGGGGGGCTGTTGGACATTTGGTGAACGTACTTGTGCAAAAGGATCTTCTTCGTCGTCGGGGGGAGGGGTTCGAGCGGTCTGAATCGGTGATGAAGGTACAAGCTCACGCCCAATAAAGTCTGGCGTTCCGTCCGGTTGCGTGGGAATCGGGCAGGGACCAGTCTTAAAAAACCGCAGCTGAAGAGCTCTTCTTATTTTCTTTGATCCTACCGCCCATGCTCCTGTAGTATAATGACGGGCGCGAGCGCGCGGAGGTCATCGGACGGCCGTATACGGTATACACGTGGGCGGCTGTGCCCACGTGTAGCGAGCGCGCGCGCATGCCGAGCGGTCGTAATCTGGCGTACGTGTACAGTAGTGCACGTGTCGTCCGAGCGGTAGTCTACGCGTGTTACGCGTGTGCGTTAGCACACGTGTCGTCCGTGCGGTAGTCCGTAAGCAACACGCGTGTACAGTGGTGCACACGTGTAGTAGCAGCGTCCGTGCGGTAGTAGCAATTATGGCGCTAGTTTTTTAATTGTGTACAGTACCCGGCACGCACTAGGCGGCAGGTACTGTACTACTGTACTGGGACAGGTGTCCGAGGCGTCCCCCTGCGGGGTTAAGACCTGGCAACCGTCCCCACCAGTAAACGGGGGCAAGCTCGCCCCCGTCCCTTTTGCGCCTACGTACGTCCGTTTCGGTTGTCCGCCGCGCGCGCTGGCTTCTAACCCGTTACCGGTCGCTCCCGTTTACGCACCACGGGGCGACTGCGCGCAACCGGCCAGTGAGCCACTCCCTTTTCGCGAGCTCGTCCGATCGGTTCAATTGGCGCGTCGCGTCCGCGCCGCGTGCTCCCTCGCTAAAGCCTCCGCCTCTCACCCAACCCAGGGCGGAGAGGAGTTATCCCACATTTGGTACTCTTGTGGAGGGGATAACTCTCGAGGTTGAGCCGCACGCGTGGTCGCTCGATCGCGCGCGGAACCGTACGGACGGAAAAGGTTGAGAAATCACCGCGTCGATCGCGAAGCGTATTCGACGATGAACCGACCGGATCAAGGGGGAGACTCCGCCTCCGGGCGTCTGAGCACCCGCAGTGGCAGTGGCGCACCGCGCCCCCGGGTGGAGAACCCGGAAGCCCTGCTGCGACCGCCACCGCGACCGGGCCGCACGCGAGCGTCCGCATCAGATGTTACGCCGGCCGTGTCGGCAGGCACCGAGAATCGCGTCCAATGGATGGTCGACGCGATTCAGCCGCGCATCCAGGCCTGGGTCGAGGAGTTCCTCGCTACGGAACTCCCCCAGGTAGCGCGCGTATGCCTCGACCGAACGGTGCCCGCGCTCGTGGACGCGCACGTACGCAGCGCGATACCACCGCTTTTGGACGAACTTCTACCCGCTCAAGTCCAATGCGAGGTGGTGACCGCGCTCACCACTGTGGATGAAGAATCCCCGTCCGGTACGGCTCTAAAGGGAGCGATCAGCTCCGCCGTGGCCAATCGTCTGGCCACGACCTTCGCCGGAGCAGGAGTCGACGCACGCGAGCAGCGCGACTCGACCGCTCCGGATCCTACGCTAACGCACGCTGAACCGATCGGCGCCGCACCCGGGATCGGTACAATGGCCCCTCACCCGGAGGGTAAGACCATTTACCTCCCACCAATTTATGGTGCTACAGGAGGGCCCACAGAAAATGGCCCTCCCGTACTCGCCGATACGGCTGGCCCCCGCGGGACAGAAAACCGCCTGGGGCGCTTCGCGACAGAAAAGCGACAGCCGTATCGGTCGAGCAGAAGAAGCGCACCCGGCGCTCAAGGCTACACCTCGGAGGGTACAGAAAACCCCTCCGAGGAAGAAGACACAAGACGTCGCCACAGGGCGAGGCGCAAGAACCGCGACGGACGCTACGCGCGATACCGCGATGCCGGAGGGGTCGGTTACCCCTCCGATGATAACCGCGACGGACGTTACACGCGATACCGCGATGCCGGAGGAGGTGGATACCCCTCCGATGACGAGGACACCGAGTCGGACGGATCGCGCAGAGGCGACCGCAGAGGTCGCAATGCGCGCGACCGACGTCGGTTCCGGCGAGAAGACTCCGATCCGGAGGGCTACAGTAGCCCCGGCGGAGAAGGAGACCGCCACCGCAGGGGCAGAGACCGCCGGTCTGCCCCGAGGCGGGATCCGAAACGGCTGCCGGTGATCAGGCCGCTGAACGACCTGTTCACCAAGGCCGTCGACTACCGCACGTATAGGCTGGAAAATCGCAGCGCGCGCTACGACGCGAGTACCGCGCGGCAAGTTAACCGATATCGGAAGAAG